ACCTGTGGCTTCTACAACTTCGGGCACCGAGGCACGTGCAAGCAGGCAGGGTGCAACGGTCGGAACCCCCAAGGCCCTATCCCGCAGGTCCAGTACTCCTGGGGGAACCCGTGGTGGGGCATTGGCGGTTTTGGCGGCGGCGGCACAGGGGGCAAGGGCGGCGGTGTCTTTTTCCTTGGCGGCGGCGGCGGCAAGGAGAACGGATACAAGGGTAAAGGCGGCGGCGGCGGTGGAGGCGGTGGGGGAGGAGGCAAGGCGCCCCCTCCTCCCAAGCGCGAGCTCACGTCTGAGGAGAAGGCCCTGTGGCTCAACCTCTCGGAGGAGCAGTTCGCGCTGGTTTCGCAGTCCATCCCTCGCCACCAACGTGATTCACTCATGCATCAGCGTGCGCTCCAGAACTACGGCCTCTCAGGGGCCAAGGCTGAGGCGGCGCAGATCAATACGCTCATCGGGAAGTACAGTCAGCAGATGGTTCACCTTAAGCAGAAGGTGGCGCGCATGCAGTCGAAGGCAGAGGAGGCGGTCAAGGCCGCTATCGAGGCGCAGGAGGAGCTGGACACCGTCCAGCAGCAGCTCGAGGATGCGAAGGCCCGCGGGCTCTCGCTGGGAGCGCAGGGCGGTGTGGGCGAGGCGAAGGCGGCGGCGCCGTCTGCGTCGATCGCCCAGCCCATGCAGCAGGCGCTCGACGCCTTCGTCGGAGCGATCCCCGAGGGGGAGGCTGGCGAAGGATTGCGCAAGGCCTTCGAAACGATGCGCGGGACCTTGGAGGCAGCAGTGGCAGCGGCGGAGGCGAAGGAGCCGTCGGCAGCGGCTGCCGCTCCCGCCGCTGGCGGCCCAGCCCCAGGCGCCCCAGCCTCCGCTGGGGGCGGCCAGGCGAGGCCGAGGCGTGAGAAACGTGGTGATGGGGAGAATGCAGCCTTTGCTGAGGGTCGTCGCGCAGCTCGTGCTGATGCTGCTCGTGGCCGAGGCAGTGGAGGCCCCCCAACGGTCATCGAGATCGACGAGTCCCAGCAGGATGCGCACATGGAGGGGGCCGACAATGCCCTTGCGCGAGTGGGAGACGGGCTACGGTCGGAGTTCCATGGAGATGAACGCGCTCAGCAGTGCGTCACATCCGTGTTGGATAAAGTCAAAGAGCAGATGGAGAAGGAGAGAGAGGAGGCTGGCAAGAGGGACAACCGCAGCAGGTCACCGACACGCTCGTGTGGTTCCTGACGGCCTGAGTTGGGATTTTGTCTCAGCTAATGTCACTAGCTGGCCACGGTGCCAGTCGTTTCTAGAGGAGGAATGCCAGTCACAAGTTTGTTTCCTTCAAGAGACAAAGGTCAAGGTAGGCGATGCCGCTCAGGCTTCGAACACCTTGGCCAAAGTAGGATGGAATGTTCGTTTTGGAACCTGTGATGTGACCCAGTCTGAAGGTTTATCAGCAGGGGTAGGTTTGGCCGTCCGCAAGGGGGTAGGCATGGGCAGCAATCCCTCGGAGCCTCGACCTCATTCCAGGGCCGTCTTGGCTTGGGTCGGGGGCCGCGTCGCGGGAGGTTTTAACGTTGCCAGTGTTCACCTCCCGAGCGGGGACGGTGTAGGGGCCGAGGGCCGCCGCATTCTTTTCCAGGTTGGGGAGCTTCTGTTCTCCATGGGAAAGCCGTTCGTCATTGGCGGCGACTTCAACGCTATGGAATCTGAGGTGAGGGGCACTGGGTTGCTTGAGAAAATTGACGGGGTCATAATTCTGACTGGAAAGCCTGCGTGCAGAGTGGGCAAGGAATGGCGTGATATAGACTTCTTCATTGTGTCGGCGAGCTTAGTGCCCTGGGTTCGGCGCTGCGATCGATTGGAAGGGTCCGAACTGTCTACCCTTTACCCCATCAGAATGTCGATCAGGACTTGTACTCACCTTGGCCAGATCAGATGTTTGTGGACGCCCAAGAGGTTCCCTGATCTTCCGATCGGTCCCGCGCCTGCCCCGCCAGCTTGGTGGGAAGGCATTCAGATTCAGGTTGAGCAGCTGGTCCGAGAACCAGCAGTCACGCAAGCTCAGGTCTCGCAGGCTAATGCATCCTTTTGCCAGGCAGCTGAGCTAGAGCTCGCGGAGACGTACCAGTTGGAGCTGTCGGGCTCCAAGGGGAACTTTTTCGGCAGAGGCGACAAGTTTAAGTTCGTGTTTAAACCGGCCATTGTCAAGGTTGGCGGGCCACATCCCCTTGGGTCTCCAGTGTCTAGGGCGATGCGCAAGTTCCACACGCGCCTAGAAGAGTTGGGGCACCTCAAGCGTAAGGGATACGACGACGACGATAAGCAGGTCAGCGAAATCAACCAAAAACTTCAGAAGGCTCCGGAGCTGCTCTGGCACTCTTCTGGCTGGCGGAAGTGGCGTGCTGGTCATTTCAGTTTCAGGGGCTATGGGGCGGCCTCGATCAGGGACGCCTTGTTTGAGTTGAGCAAGCTGATCCAGTCCGAGGAGGCTTCTTGGGTTAGGCATCGTCAAAAGAAGTGGAGATCTTGGGCTTCAGAGGCGGTGGCAAACGGGGGGAGTATGGCACATAGGTGGGTGAAGGTCCCGAACGAGTGGATCCCAGATGAGCCAGGCCCCGATGGAACCCCAGGAGGCGCGATGGACCAGATAGAGGCACTCGAAAGTGAATGGAAGGGTATTTGGAGGTACGGAGACTTGAAGGAGCCCGAGGCCCTACTTATACAGTCTTTACCCATGGATGACCCTCCAGAGCCACCTGAGCCTCAGGAATTACGTCGAGTTCTTGGGAAGTTTAAGAAGCGTACGGCGGTGGGGGCCTGCAGGTGGCCGCCATCACTTTTGAAGTCCTTGTGTGATGACGGGCTTCGTGTATTTGGACTCCTGCTGCACATGTGGGAGAAGTTCGCGTGTCTTCCTGAGCAGATCATGCTGCTCATCCTCCCCTTCCTCCAGAAACCAGAAGGTGGTCGGCGACCGATAGGTATTTTGCCCACGCCAGTTCGTGTTCTTGGGAGGTTGCGTCATCGGGAGGCGGAGAGATGGGAGTAAGTGAACCACAAGGATTACATGTACGGGGGGAAGGGACGGAGCTGTGAGATGGCGGTGTGGAGGCAAGCGATTAACAACGAGGCGGCTATCGCCAGCAAGTTTTTCAGCGCCTGCACGTTGATTGATCTTGAGAAGGCTTACGAGAGAGTGACGCACCAGCTCCTGCTTCGTTCGTGTCATCGGCATGGCTTTAGCATCAGGCGCATTCGAGTGCTCCTCTTAGTGTACGGTGGGCCTCGCAGCATTAAGGTTGGCGAGGCCCTGTCCCTCCCTTTCACAGTCAACAGCAGCATAGTCGCGGGGTGCTCTTTCGCGACGACGCTGTTGAAGATAGTCCTCAAGGATGTGTGCGACGATTTTATGGCTAGATGGCCCCGTCTTGGGCTGGCGCTTATGGTTGACGATTCCACCATTCAAGCTTTGGGGTCCGAGCCATACGTGAAGAAAGCACTGGTGGCAGGGACGTTGCAGTTCTGTCGGGGCTTGGAGGCTTTGGAGCTGAAGGTTTCCAGGAAGAAATGCATTTTGGTGGCATCGGACATCAAAGTGGGCAGATCTCTGCAGCATAGTTTGAGAGAGTTCAGTTTCAAGTATGTGCCCGCGGCCAAGAACTTGGGCGTAGACTTTAAGTTAGCCTTCAACAAGGGCAGGCAGGTGACGAACAAACGAATCACCACTGTTCGTGGCCGAGTGCGACGATATCGAGCGTTCCGATTCTCGAAGAAACCGATTCAGCAGGTCTTCAGAGGTGGGGGAACGCCGGCTGCGATGTACGGGGTGGGGGTGGTGGGGATGTCCAACACCTCACTCCAGACGCAGCGGGCCGCGACGGCCGCTGCCCTTTTCGGCCCAGCCAAAGGAAGGTGCAGGGCTGTGCAGTTTTTACTTGCAGAGGTGCCGCAGGTTGACCCGTCTTTCCTGGCGAACGCCTTGCCGCTCATGATGTGGTGCAAGGCTATTTTTTATGCAGTGGTCTTCAGAGGCACAGATGCAGACGGCCTTTGACAAGGCCAAGAAAGAAGTAGCGAGAGGTTGGAGTGGAGTCATCGGCCCCGCTGGGGCGGTGGTACAGACTCTGATTAGGTTGGGTTGGACTGGGACCTCCTGGTGCAGATGGGTTACTTCGACGGGGCTTAGCCTGGACTTGCGTGAGTTGGGTCCTCGTACGATCAAGGCCCTCGTAGACGACACCACGGAGCAGCTCAGTCTAAAGAAGGTTAGCGAGTTTTACAACCTGTCTTGGGAGCCCTTCCTGGACCCGATCAGAGGTGTGATTGCCGAGCTGAGGAAGAGAGGGGACCATCTTGGGATCAGTCTTCTTATCGCTCAGGTTTCTGGAGGCCTCTGGACGCAGAAAGACCTGTTCAAGCATCGCTATAGTTTGGGCCCGCTCTGCAGGTGGTGCAAGGCCCGTGAAGGGTCCGTGCATCACAGGATATGGGGCTGCGATGGCTCCTGGCTTTTACGGCGTGATCTTGACCCAGGGGGTAAGTTGCTGAGGCAGGGGATCAACGCCCAGGTAGATCTTAGATGGACGCGAGCGTTGGTGCCCAGCGACCGCGAGTCCATCCCGAAGATTTTGCACGGAGCTGAGTTTAAGTGGGCCCATCCTCCTCACCGTGATGGAACCCTGGGGCCATATGTCTGTGTCGATGGTTCGGGATATGACAATGACAGCAGATGGTTGGTCCGAGCAGGATGGGCAGTAGTATCAGTTTCCTTAACGCTGGAGGTGGAGGCCATAGCGTATGGCCCGTCGCCGCTTCCAGTTCAGGATGTTCCAAGTTCAGAGCTCGACGCCTTTTTTATGGCCCTGACGCTCATGGGCCCAACGATCACGATATGCACGGATTGTCAGATGGTCGTCGACGGGTGGGAGGCTGGTGAGGCAGGCACTACTCACCCAAACAAGGCGTATGCTGAACTCTGGAGGCAGATTTGGAGGAGAGTCGAGGATGTGGGGAGAGAGAACGTCCAGGTTGTGAAGATAGCCGCGCACCAGTCGCGGCGTGCGGCATTCAACCATGGAGTACCGCCTCATTTTTTCCATGGGAACAGGCTCGCCGACGAGTGGGCCAAGACGGGTGCCAAGGCGCACCCGACGAACTTCCACGTCAGAGACAGGATAAAGTTCCATCATGATCAAGTGACCCTGTTGGCCAGGTACATGACTGAGGTGTTGAAGAATGTGCACAGGTTAGGGTACCCCGACGTTGAGGCCATCAAGGAACGTAGGCAGCGGACCCTTGTTAATTCAGAGGCCCCCCTGCTTGAGATAGTTCCAGATGATAAGGGTCACAACATATCACAGGTTCCAGGTGGGTGGGGGTGAAGTGTCTGTGGGATCGGGCGGAGTTCGCGCTCTCGGCTGGTGCAGCTGCCGTGCCCTGGGGTCCCCGTGGTCTTCCTGAAAGCTCACCCCACCCACCGCCTCTGGGCCAACGGGCCAGTCTTGTGGTGCTCGGCGTGCGGGGTGTACGCCCAGCAGCAGGTCAAAGATCTTGCTGAGAGGTGTGCTTCTCGCGCCGTCGGAGAATGGAAGAAGAGGTCACTGCGCCTCTTGAAGCAGGGCAAGAACCCGTCCTCGCCGAAGGCGGAGGCGGTCGTGCCCGTGCCTCTCCATCGATAGTCTGGCCCAGACGCGGGCCGGACATTTTACGACGATTTCGCTGGTTTGGCTTTTTCGTCGTAAATTGTCCGGCGCTGCCTTGGGGGCCCTTGAGTTTTTATTTGAAGTGCGGGCATCTTGTGTTCACGGGATGGTTCGCTTGGCAGCGCAGAGCGCAGAGGAGGAGGAGGAGGAGGAGGAGGAGGA